AGCAAATCAATGTTAATAGAAAAACTTCTTATTCATTTATGTAGTTCTTTTTGCTTAACAATAATTATGTTAATTCGACCTTTTGGCTTTCAAAATAAAAAACTTAAGTAAAATTCAACATAATATCCGACCTGTCTTTCTTAAGAGAAAACTAAAGTACAAAGATACCACTGCCACTGCAACAACAAAAGCAGCAAAATTTCCCCCTTCTCTTGTTTAGGGGGGGTAAATGAAATACTGCCAGAACCAACTGGGCTTAAGATGGAAAATGGTCAAATGGGTTTTTTAAGAGAATAGAGTTGGGCCGAATGAAATTGGGGAATTAGGTATTTAAGAGGGGGAATTAGGTATTTAAGAGGAAGTGCACGCAAATTTCAATTTAGTAGAAGTATAAACTTACCATCTCACTAATTTTAATTTTCTTTTGCAAATTTCATCATTTTGGTCCAATCCACAACATATTTTGCAATCCACATTGTTTTTCTTTTCGAAATCCTCAAATTGAAGAGCACGTGTTTCATGCTAGCAAGTGCAATTCTTTGATTTCTAGATATTTTGATTATTAAAATGAAAGACAAATGAGACTTGCACCAAATCACCCGATTGGAAGAAGTCAGATGCTTTATCCATTAGACCAATCTCCTTGTCATATAACTCAATAGTTTTGCTACTCCACTTCTTTTTTTTACTGAATTTTATTGGTGCATAAAAACAACCATATTATTATGTTTCACTTGTATTAAAATTTTGGAAAATTAATAGATTTTGGTAATTGAACACGTTTTCTTTCATAAAAGTATACTTAAATTTTCTCCAATATCCCATTAATTAGCATGGTTACATGCGTGGACATAATTTTATCTTTACATTATCTTTGAACACCAAAAGTTAGAATTATTTTATAGCTGACTTACGTTGGTCTATTCATTCTAATGTCATGTTTTTATGTCTCTCATACAAATTAGTCACTTCCAACTGCCAAAGTTATCACAAAAAAGATATTCAAAATAACTACTTAGCCTAGATCTACAAATTTTTAAATATACATGCTTTCAAAATGTTTCTTCCTCTAACTAACGATTTAAGGAGATTATTGATAACTTTTCTTTAATAAAAATAAAAGATTTTAAATTTGAATCATAAGATATGTGAGTGAGGTAAAAAGGGTGAGAGTATTGTTTTCCATTGTACAACCTAATATTAAAAAAAAAAAATTCTTTGCCCACTTAAAAAAACCTATATGTAGTGTTTAATATTCCTTAGATGGAAGATATTAAGTAGTTGCATGCCAAAAACAAATGAGTTTAGATTTATTTATACATAATTTTTATACATATTATTTACACAAAAAAGGTAATTAAAATATTAAAATTTTAACTATTATTCTCCACTATAATTGAAATTTATTATAACTTTTTAAATAAAAATAAAATAAAATATGAATAAATCTTAACCATACTTCCTATCTCTAATGAAAAATGATAATAACAAGTTACCAATTGACAATAATAATAATAATAATAATAATAATAATTGAAGGCAAGAACCTAACTACATTTTTCTTTTAATTTTTAGTTGCACAATAAGAGATAATAATCTCCTATTCTTTTACTTACTTTAAGTTTATGGATTCCAACCTAAATCTCTTATTTCCTTTGCCTAAAATAATTGTCTTTTTAAGATTTTTTTTAAATTAAAGATTTAAGAATAATTTGTATATTTGTATATATTACCTTTAAAAAGAGACTTTTTATGATATTATAGTAAATAATTAAAAAGTAAATATATAAAAATAAAGTTAAAGTAAAAAAATTATTTATTTATCTTAAAAAGTAAAAAATAACAATTAATTTGATATAAATTTAAAATAACAAACAATAATTATTTTGAAACGGATATAGCGGTTGGATTGTTGGCATAACCTAATTACATCGATTAATAAATTTGAGGACTGCTTCATCAAAAAAAAAAAAGTTGTGAGGACTGTGAGTACAATTGAGACAAACATTAGCTTAGTACTAAAATCTTCATAAGTTTACTTGATAGTCCAAGATTTTTTTTAGTTTCGAATCATACCCTCTGAAATTGCCCTTCCCATCAATTTTCTCGGCAACCGAACAGAACCTGAAAACCGTAAAACCCTTTCCAGTCAACCCTGAATCCTTTCTTGCTGTCTTTGATCTCTGCAAAATCTGTCTAAAACCTGAAATAACCCAAAATGGGACTCCCATCGTTCCCAAATTTGGCTCCTCAACAGCAATGAAACTTGCATCGGCCTTTCTACGCACAATCAAGCCCTCTCATCGGTCCTTGAAGTCTCACCATAAACCCTACTTATCTCTGGAGGAGTTCACAATTTCAAATGAAGTCCTCTCCATCGTCGACACTGTCAATCCAATGGAACCCGCCTTGGAGCCTCTCGTGCCATTCCTTTCTCCAGAGATTGTCACTTCCGTTATCCGAGAACAGTCAAATCCGCTACTGGGCTTTCGTTTCTTCATCTGGGCAATGCAGAGAAGGCGTTTGCGTAGCTGGGCTTTGGACAATTTGCTCTGTGAGATGCTTGGGAGAGAGAATGGGTTTGATTTGTATTGGGAAGCTGTTGGGGAAGTGAAGAAGAGTGGGGTTCCAATCGCACCCAATGTGTTTACGCTGCTGATTTCGGCGTATGCGAGGGTGGGTCTGGCTGAGAAAGCTGTAGAGTCTTTTGGTAAGATGAAGGATTTTGATTGCGAACCTGATGTGTTCACTTACAATAGGATAGTGCTTCTTTCTTTTCGTAAAGAGGTGCTTTTGTTAGCATTAGCAGTTTATAATCAGATGTTGAAGGCTAATTGTCAGCCTAATCGGGTTACATTTAGCATAATGATTGATGGGATGTGTAAAAATGGGAGAACTCAGGATGCACTTAGGCTGTTTGATGAAATGACCGAGAGAGGTATAAATCCAAATAGGTTTACCTATACCATAATCGTTTCAGGTTTGTGTCAAGCAAAGAGGGCTGATGATGCGTTTAGGTTGTTTGTTAAGATGAAGGAAACTGGGTGTTCACCTGATGTTGTTGCTTACAATGCTTTGCTTAATGGGTTCTGTAAGTTAGGTAGGATGGACGAAGCTGTTGCACTCTTTAAGTCTTTTAAGGAGGACGGATTTGAACTTAACTTAAATGGTTACAGCTGTCTAATTGATGGTTTGTTTAAATCTGGAAGATATGAAGAAGTGAATAAGTGGTACAGGAAAATGTTAGAGGATAAAGTTAAGCTTGATGTTGTTGTGTACACAGTAATGATACGAGGATTATCAGAGGCAGGCAAAGTTAATGATGCAATGCAATTGTTGAGTGAGATGACACAGAGAGGTCTGGTGCCAGATGCCTATTGTTATAATGCTTTGATTAAAGGGTTCTGTGATATTGGTCTTTTGGATAATGCTAGGTCTCTTCATCTTGAGATTTCAAAACTTAATGGCTTCCCTAATGCCTGCACATACACCATTCTCATTTGTGGTATGTGCAGGAAAGGGCTGGTTGGGGAGGCAGAACAAATGTTCAATGAGATGGAGAAACTTGGATGTTTTCCTTCCGTTATTACATTTAATTCTCTTATTGATGGACTTTGTAAGGCTGGTGATCTGGAGAAAGCACGCCTTCTGTTGTACAAGATGGAAATAGGGAGAAATCCTTCATTGTTTCTTCGGCTGTCACAAGGCTCAAATCGGGTTCTTAGCAGTTCAAGCCTACAAGATATGGTGCAGCGGCTTTGTGAGTCAGGAAGGATTCTAAAGGCCTACAGGATACTCATGCAGCTAGCTGATAGTGGAAATGTGCCAGACATTTTCACTTACAACATTCTGATCCATGGTTTTTGCAAGGCTGGCAACATTAATGGTGCTTTGAAGCTCTTCGAAGAGCTGCATCTGAAGGGGCTTTCTCCTGATGCTATAACATATGGAACTCTTATCACTGGCCTTCTAAGAGTTGGCAGAGAAGATGATGCCTTTAGAATCTTTGATCAAATGACAGAGCATGGATGCACCCCTTCCCCACAAGTTTATAATTCCCTTATGACTTGGTCATGCCGTAGAAAAAAGCCTGCATTAGCTTTTAGTCTTTGGTTGAAGTATCTGAGTAGCCTCTGTGGTCGAGAAGATAAAGCAATTAAACCTATAAAAGAACAATTTGAGAAGGGAGAAGTGGAAAAGGCAGTACGAGGCTTACTTGAGATGGACTTCAAATTAAATGATTTTAGATTAGCACCTTACACCATTTTGCTCATTGGGTTGTGTCAGGCAGGAAGGGTAGAAGAAGCTATAAAAATCTTTGATATCCTTGAGGGATGCAAGGTTATTGTCACTCCCCCTAGTTGTGTGAAGTTGATACATGGTCTCTGCAGAGATGGGGATCTGGACCGGGCAGTAGATATATTCCTTTACACACTAGAAAAAGGCTTCAAGTTGGCTCCGCGAATCATCAACTACCTGCTTAAGTGTCTTCTCCATTCTAAAGGTAAAAGGATAGAGGCATTTGATCTTATAACCAGAATGAAATCTCAGGGCTACGATTTGGATGCATACCATAATCAAACGAACAGGTCCCTTTTAAATGGTCATTTTGATACGTTAGAAATGGAAAAGGTCTCACCTGGATGAATTTTTCATTCACTGATTTGCTTTTTGTATGTGAAATTAACACTTTTTGTTTGGATCGAGTTCATTTTTTTAGAATAACGGGAAGTGAGTCATTGGGGAGGATGGCATAGAACCTTTTTTCATGCATCCTAAAATTTTGTAATTTGTACACCAAATTAGTTTGTAAGATTATAAGTCTTCATAGAAGGATCAAATGCCTATCTACCTTGAAATAAAATACGGCTTACAAATTTTTTTTTTTTTTTGGGATTAATTTGGCATTCAATTAGGGATGTTAAATGGGATATATTCTGGTTTCATTTTTCTCAAGCTGATTATTGCGTGGTAGGACTGATAAAATTAGACTCGGATTATGAGAAATGTTTCCTGTACTTTCTGCCTTCAAGATGCATCCAAAAATGATGATTATTAGGTTTAAAGAGCATGCATATTGGTACATCAAAAAAATGTTGTTCAATCCAAACTACACAACTTAAACCATTAGACGAGGGAAGGCCCCTTGATATTGAGGGCTCCTTCCCTCTTGATATTGAGGGCTCTCCTTACATTTAATGGTTCTTATTTTGCAATTTAGAACTTGTTTGGGTTAACTTATAAGAGCTTTTACTGTTTTTGTATTGTTTATGAGTGATAAATTTAATTTTTTATTGAAAAAAAAATTTTAAAGTTACTTTTAGAGGTAAGAAAAAGTGAGTAAAAAATGAGCCAAAAAAAAAAAGTTTATTAAAAGTAAAAATTTGAAACTTTTGAGTTTTTATTGTTTAAGGTCTATAAGTTTAAAAAAAGTTAAAAAAATATAAGTTTTTAAGAGGAAAATTTAAACTTATGAAACATGAATAGTATCAAAAAACTAAAGTACTTGGAAGTTGAACCCAGCATGCTCTTAGTACAGTTTGAATTGCAAAATAGGGAACTCTTGGTACATTTAAAAAATGACAAGGCAGAATGAACAAGCTACTATACATTATCACACATACCTTTAGCTCCACACTTCTATTTACAAAAGATATTAGGGAAGATTACATCCTGTTTATTACTCAAATAAAACAAATAACTAAATCTTCTCATCCCATTCTTGGCATAAAGCTACTATACATTATCACACATACCTTTAGCTCTCATCTCATTAATGTACAGTAACGTGTTATCAGTTCTATTTTCTTAACTGACAAAGACAAGCCTGTGAAAATAAGCAAGAAGCATGATTCTAATTTCTCCAGACAAACTTGGCTGCTCACCCTTCACTTTTGCTCGATCTTCAGCCTGCTAAAGCATCCAACAGTAGAAACCAATCAAAATTTCTGGACTTTTCATTGGGTTGAACTTGCCAATCATTCCTCTGGCCGAAACAAGGTGTATGTTGAACTGGTCTCTGTCTTCGTAACCTGCACAGAAATGTTTAGTTTCACTGCTAATGGAAATAGTTCTTAAATAAATAACCTTCTTGGTTCAACTAAATTGTTGTTAAAGAAATATGAAACCAATTTCCATGCTTTCAGTGTCAAATACTACAATAACTTTCTGCTGCAAAATTTTGAAAAGCATTATGGTCATCCTCTATTTCATTCACTTGAACTTTACTAAATTTCAAGTTGGAACTTTAATCATCGTCACAGACCAGACAACAATGTAAAAAACTTTTTAATTTCTTAAGACGTGCCTTAGGACAGTCATAGTATTTGCCAAGTGGCAAATACTTAAATATCAAATAACAAGACCCCCAGACAAGATACTATAAATATGCAATATAAAAAATGCAGATTCAAATAAAGTTTGGATATGAAAGTTGTTATTCTGCTAGCTGAAATTCACAATACCTAATCATAGAAATGTCATCTTACACGTTATCTTCTTCCAAATTCAATGAAAATTATGTCATCTTGCAATAAACAATTTGTTTTCTCAAAACCAAAAACTTATATTATCAATGTTGCATCTCATAAATGATAAAAGGTTAAGGTACTAAATTATAACAATTCCCTTTATACTAATTCTATTTCAATGCTTCTAAAGAGATGACATTCAAAGCAGGGACACTAACCTCTGAATTCCGAGATGGTCCAGTAGAAAGCACGGGAGCAAGAGATGTCCAAAGGATGGGGTCCATCATAGGGTCAATGGTATTGTAGTTGGTAACAAGCGGGGCGGACAAGAAGGGAGTCAAGGGGAACATGTTTCTCTGAAGAGACAACCCACCACTCATCCCCAGTGTGGCTCCAAGTCTATCACTCCCACTGTCATGACTGACTTGTTTCTCTGCTGCTTTGCCATGGTCCATCTTGTTTATTGTATTTTTATTTTCATTCTCATCATTCTCATTGTTGTTTTCTTGCTTTTTCGATGCTTTCTCTTGCAAGCTCTTGTAGGCAGCAGACTGGGACAATATACTCAAGGCAGAGACAGAGGACCCTTTATGTTTCTTTCCTTCAAGGGAGGTGCCAAGACAGGGCATCTGGTATGGTTCAGTTGGCTTTGTTCCCCACTCTGATATTTTAAGTTCATTACCAATGTCTTCTGGGCAACCATGTTTTGTTTCTTCTGATGATTTTGCAGGTTCTGCTTGACGAGCTTTATTGCCTCCCCACCACTTTATGTAATTTGTTAAATCAATCCTTCTCTCCATGGGGAAACTACCTAAAAAGTCACTTTCTGCTGTTGGATCATCACCTGCAAGAATTAATGAGATGATAGTAGTTTACTAGTTTAGGGAATTTATCTTGTGACTCAAAAAGGGTTAGTTGAAACTTACCATAGTGTATGCTATTGAAGTACTGAGAGCCAGCCACACGACCAAATGACGAGTCCCACCGACTACTTTGTGATAGCCATAAATGCATAATCCAATATTGAAACAAAAAATAAGAAAGAAGAAGAAACATAATCTTGATAAATAATTAATACTTATATGCATTGAATATGTTATAATCCTCTCTTTTTATAGACTAACCACAACAAAAAGCTAGAGTAAATCATCTTTAAGTATGATCAAGAAATTTTAGAACTAGCAAATGAAGAGAAGTTATATGCCCAACAAACGCTCTACATCCGGACCCCAGAAATTATTCCTTACATCCATGTAAGTATTTTTTTTTTTTTTTCCTTTTCTGGTGCTAAAAATCCTACCTGGAAAGACCACGATATTTAGAGATTCCTCTTGAGAAACCACTGCTTTTTCTGCAGAGAAATGCAATGTAAGTAAGAGCCTATATAGTTGGAGTATACAATTTCTAAATACGTACATACCTTCTGAGAGTTGCAAGGTAATCCTCCCTGGAAACATTTTGCATCTCTTCAAGATCTCTGGCATAGTCGGTAACCTGCATATAACTTCCCACTTTAAAAATTCACCTTCAGACAAAGATTTGGAGATCAAAGCATACAGTAAACTGTGATTATCTCACTGGAAAGTTAATTAGTGTCCCAGGACCCCAGTATTTTAAAGCAGCAAGATCATAAGCTCTAGCTGCAGCCTCTTCATCATCATATGCTCCTGCAAATATACATTACTTGATAAAGACAAAACAAAATAAAAAACTAATGGTCAAGTCTCAGTACATCAAATACATGAATCTGCCGGCTTACCCAAGTAAACTGATAGTGTGACAAATGTGAATCATTCCATATGCAACAAAAGAAAAGAAACTTATGTCAGCTTCATGATAAATGATACAAGTCCATGATGTTGCAATTATATCTATATATAGAGAGACACGGTTAGAAAGATAGACCTTGCTTCCCTTTCTTATTCTGATTTTGATTCCATGTACTTTTATCCCAAAGATGAGCTTCGTAACGGCCGGTCCATCTATGCCTAATATATACAGACATTAAAACAAAAAACACGTTAACCATGTATATAAACAACTACTGACACAGAGAATGATCTCAACTAAAACAAGATGAATTGATCTAATATCAATCTAGTTCCTTCCAAAGCAACATATAGAAAATGATCCTGCAACCTAAAGTGAAACTGAATCAAACCACTAAACAAGTTTTCTATCTACAATTAACTTATGCTAAAAATTTAAAAAAAAAAAAATCCAAACTTGATCAAGCAAACAAACTTGCAAACTTTCACATCTACTAAAAATATTTTGTATCTACAATTAACTTAACCTGATCAACGAATTGATACTCTTTCATCAACCGAGCTACAGTAAAGTTGAATAAAGATGATCAAAACAGTGAAATGAAAGTTGTCCGTTCTCTTCAATTTACCTGGTGACACCACGGTAGATGGAGCTTCGTTTACCAGCAGTGCAAGGCGGCATCTTACTGATGCGCTCTTTAGCGGTGCAACCTCTCTCCTTCTTCGCCTTCTTCAATCCCTTGTACAGTAACAGCTGATCATTCGCCATTACCGTCTCAGAAGTCTCCCCTCCGCTTGCTTCCGCTTTCAATCCCGACGTCGACGCCATCACACCAGAGAAAGAAAGAAAGAAAAAAAACCAAACCCTAGGAGAGAGAAAATCGGAAGAAGAGGAACAGTGAAGAGAGGGAGAGAGTGGGGGAAGTGAGAGCTACAGACAGTGTGAGAGATGTTTGGGTTCGGTTTGATTTCAGTGTGGAGGAGAGAGGTGGTGGTTCTGGAGGCGGATGAATTTACGGAACTGTCCTTGGCGGCGATTGGAGTGGATGGTTGTAACGGCTAGGAATGGGTGGGGAGATCTGTCATTTCGTTGGTATTTCAAAGTCGTGTGTATTTTGGCATCTGTCAGGACTCAGGAGTGGTGTCCCTAAGACGCGGTGTCGTTTTGAGGAATTGGGCCGAACAATTTTCTGTACCGTTGAGCCCAATAGTCCAAACGCCTGTAGCATAGTGTCGCTAATTGCCGCCCTATTTTTTTCAATTCCCTTGAGCGGATCTGAAAAGAATTTTTTATTTTGCAGTGTATAAACTGATCATTGTGTTAGGTTTTTTTATGTAATTGATAATGAATAATTAATATTTATTAATTAATAATGATTATTATTTATAATTTAAAATATCTAGTTCATTTGATTAAATTTAACAGTTAATAATTATTTTCAAAATATCAAAACAAATACCTTTAAATTGTATTAAATTATAAAATAAAAATTACAACAATATTATAATTATAATGTCATTTAGAATAAAAATTTATAATTTTATGTGTGATATTAAACAAATATAATATAATATTAAGTAAGTAAATATATACTCAAAAACTTGTGTGCCGTAATTTTAGTTACATAACTCATGTATATATAACAGCAAAATAATACTAAAAATAACTTCAAAATTTTATCATTCCACAAACTCAGTAAAAAAAATCACCATATATAAGAGGAAAAATGTGAAACTAATGCATCCTCAAGAACTTGTTTCCCATAGTCTCATGCCTAGCAATTTCAATTGCAGAAGTCTGCAGGAGGAACAATCCAGCAAGGTTGTTGTTGGGCATTTCCGGAGACTTCAAACTCCAGAATTGGCGACACACTTCCATCTTCCAAGCTGTATATTCCAACATCGTGCCCCCATGATCCATCAGGTTGACCATGCCAACAATCATTAGTGAAGTAAATCGAGTTCCCTTTACAATTTGTTAGATCTTTCCGTCGATACTGAAACCGAATGATTTTTTCCAAGAAACAGGGATCGATCTCCCAGAGATTTTATCTCGCCCCATCTTTTCTTCTCCAAATCAAACTTAAACACTTGAAAGAAGTCGATTTCTGTAAACATTTAAACGGATAAATCGAAGGACACACATAATCTCAGCTTCCGATACAACAATATGTATCTAGAAATAATACAATCATATCTAATGGATGATTCCACTTTCTCTAACAATTGGCCAAAAAAACCATAATTAGGCGAGATCTTGATGCTTTTCCGGGGACGATTACCTTCTAAATCAATGTCCCATGTATTAATGACACAGCCCCCTAATGCATTAATCTTGTTTCGGTAGCAGGTTATTTCGTTAAAATTTATTGTATAATGATAATTCAACAATTTAGTCCACGAACCATCCCCGTTCTTGTAGTATACAGTTTGTGTAATTCCGTTGTGATTGCACATCAAACGACACCGCATTTGCCGACAGGTTCACCAGTAAGGACAGCTTTTGTGACAAAATATTTCCACTGACCTCCTGCATGCTGCATGGATTGGCGCTGCCATGCACCATTAAAGGAAACCAGAAACGTAACATATGGATTGGCGTACACAGTTCTGGTTATGCTGAAGGGAGTTTTCAGAGAAGGAAGATCGGTTCGAACGTCTGTGAAAGGGTTAAACAAGAAAGGAGTGAAAGTCTTGCCATCTAAGAAAATCAGCCACTCTCATGATGATCCAATGCAGTGAAACTCATGAAACATACCCGACGTGGTCTCTTCCGTGTTTCCTTCTACGTTAATGAAGCGGCAAGAAGTGGAGCCTTGTTTAGGAGGGAGTAAGAGCCAGGGGGGCTCGGGGAAGCGCGCGGATAGCAGGGATTCTGTGACAGAGTTCCAGAAAGAAGACGGATTTTGTCCGAACAAGATCGTGTAGAGGCAACTGCTGGAAGATGAATTCAATGACATGGATGGGCAGTTGGGTGTTCTCCTCATGTTTGGAGATCTAAGCTAGGACTAAGAGTTTAGTCGTCACAGGACAAAGCTTTTACTCGAACAAAAATCCATCAGACCCAGTTGGCTACATATGTTTCGATCGCCTCTAATTGAACCATAATAACAAATATAGAAAGGGGTGTTCATGCCAAATTCTAATAGGAATAGGACATCAACTGCTGATCAGCCTAATTAAGTATAGAGTTTCATGTTTTTAATTCATAATTACAATAGGCTGTAAAATAAAATTTATTGAATGTATTATAATTTTTAATATTATGGCTCACTCTATGTAATGATTTATATTATTCAATCTAAACTTCATAATACTTTTTATTTGTGGATCTATACAGTACTTTTTGTTTAATTTTATAACAAATTGTTTAATATAAAATGAATCGTTTAATTAATAAGTATAATACATAAAAAAAGTGAAGTGAACGAACTGCATTTTTCTTAATCATCAGTAGAAGGGTTGGTACCCTTATATTAAAAGCTCACCTCTCCATCAATGGTGGGAAAACTACAAAACATCATTCTAATAATATATATTAACACAAATTGCCATCTAGGCAAACAAACATGAAGTTGCTATCTCATACAGAAATAAGAAGTAGCCATCTCCACTCATATGTTGATAGGGAAAATTATGTTGCTATAGAAACTTGTGTCTCAAGTAAGATGTAACGTTTTTTTTGTCCTTTAATTTATACTATCTATATATTATATGATTGTAATTTAAAATTTTTTATTTTCATTAAAAAAATATCACCAAACGATTTAGTTTCTCATAACAACCTTCTATGTTTTGATTTCTCTTTAATTTTTTTCTTGGGGGCACAGGCACAGCATAGTCCTATTCCCTACCAAGCCTGGGATCAACGGCCTATATGAGGTAGTCAGGCCAATATACTGTATAGTTTTTGACTTGTTTAATAGCGGAGAAAATTAAGGATTTGGGAAAAATCCTGTAAAATCTCTAACAATCTTTGAGAATTTTATTTTATTTTTTTATGAGTCTGGGAAAGAATACCATACACACCAAAACCGTCCAAATAAAGATCATAAGTAACAAACAAAGCTCCCATTGCTCTACAATTCTCTAAAGCTAAACTTAAAATATAATAATAACAAATGTTATACAGTTTTAGTAATATCAAACTGCATAATATTTATTATTAGATGCGAGTGATCCCTTAATATTAAAAGTCCTTCTAAATTAGAAGACACATATGACTTTTTTCTAATTACATAAAACATAAAAAAAAAAAAAAAAAAAAAAAATTTTTTAAAAAAAAAAAAAAAAAAAAAAAAAAAAAAAAAAAAAAAAAAACCTTGATATAATTAATAAACTCCAAGAAGAAACCCATTTGGGTTGGTCAAGCAATAATAATAGATGTAACCGTGTTTGAGAATATAAGTTCGGGTCCCACTGTAACTTTCTCCAGTAATCATGCCTTGCAATTTCAATTGCGGGAGTGTGGAACAATCCAACAGGGTAGAAGTAGTTGTTCATTCTTCAAGGATTCAACATCAAATTCAAAAACTTGCGAGATTTTGCCATCTTCCAAGGTATACGCTCCAAACTCATACTCGTACGGTAACCTATTAGCCTCAGGCACAAAAGCCCAATAATCATTAGTGAAGTAAATTGAGTTCCCTTTACAAAATTTCATATCCTTCGTCGACACTGAAACTGAATGATTTCTCCCAATAACCAACGATTGATCTCTAAGGGACTTCACCTCTACCCATCTCCTATTTTCCGAATCCAACTTATACACCTGAAACAGCTTTGCCTTGTGAGCCCTACAACAAATAAAATTAATGACCTGCAAAATCTCCCCTTCAGATTCAACAATGTATCTAGAAAGAACACAGTCATCTAGAAAAGGTTTCAATGTGTGGTCGATGCTTTCCCTCAGCCTCCCCTCTGCAGCTAAACTCATTATATGAATAGCGTTATTGGAATCAAGTGCATAAATCTCGTTTTGGCAGCAGATAACATCTTTGTAAGAATGTCTCTGATTCAGTTCGGTCCAACAACTTTCTCCATTCTTGTAAAAAATAATTGCAGTGCAGAAGTCGCATATCATAACCACACTGTATTCACCGACTGGTTCCGCAGTAAGAATAGCCTTTTGGACGTAATGTTTGATTGGGTCTTTTGCACCGTTCCTGAGTGCAAAATATCTAACACGCCTAAGGAAATCAAGTTCTTCATCACCGTAGAAAGTAGTTAAAGACGGGAGATGGATGCGAACATTGGTGAAAGGGTTAAACAAGAAAGGAGAGAAGGTGCTGTGGTCCAAGAAAATCAGCCATCCCTGTGATGATCCAATGCAGTGAGACTCAAGAAACACCTCCGATGTTGTCTCCTCTATGTTATCTTGGACGTTCAGGAAGCGACAGGAAGTAGGGGGTCGATTAGGAGGGAGCATGAGCCAGGGGGCTTTAGGGAAGCGCGCGGACAAGAGGAATTGTGTGTAGGAGTTCCAGAAAGAAGACAAAGCTTTTGTCCGAACGAGGTCTTGAAGAGGCAGCAGCTTGAAGATGGATTCCACGACATGGGCGGGCAGCAGGTATCTACTCTTTTTGGCGCAGCAGTCCCAGGTTGGCCGCGTCCTAGGTTGTCCCATGCTGCCTGTTGAAAGACAAACCAGACAAACTTGGAGCTTGATCAATCCTTCATATATATTTAAAAATATATTTAAAAGGAGGATACATAGAACTACCAAATTTTAATAGAAATAGGAATTTCTAAAGTGTACAACTATTGACTTTCATTACTATATATAAAAATAAAAGTATTACATCAATTAAGGATTGTAATCATACATAACCGATAAAAAATTAATAAATTAACCTTTTAAAAAAGGGATGGCGTGGCATAAATCATGTCATGCTAAACTCATGGGTCACGCCTGCCACCTTGGGTGAACCCTTGCTCGGTGCTTTTGAATAGGGTGTGGTTTGCATGTACTTGCGAGACTTGTCTGGATTTTTAAAAGCAAGGCGAGCTCCTACCATTGCTTCAATGAACATCCCATTCCTTTCAATGACTCCCACTAATTTTCTTCAGCCCTTACTGGCTTTGCGTACTTTGGAAAAAGGTTTGCGACCTGCCCTGTTATCCTCTTTGCCTATATTTGCCTTCTCCATCTTCCTCCTTTTTCCATTTGGGGGACCTTTTTTGAAATTCCTTTTGTTCCTTGTCTTCCTTCCATCTGACTGATCCTCCGTAGATTTGTCTAAATGTCGTGCTCTTTTTGCCATTTTCAATCCGACACCATCACCAGCAGACACATGAAGCTTGCTTGAATCAGTAAGCTTGCCATAGTCTCTATTTTCCCTCTTCCTCTTTCTTTGCTTCGTTGAGCCCTTTTCCTTGGAAAGAATACCCAATTCCTTCTGCTTCCTCCTCTGCAGCCTGTATCATTAAGTTCAACAGTAGTTAGAAAATATTAGCCTGAACACACCAAAAGCCGGCAGAGGAGCAAAAAGGAAAAATGGTGATGCATCAAGAGATCAGACCCCTTAGTTTCTGAATCTGCAAGTAACATATCTGTATTATTAGTGCCAGCATCTTTTGAACTTGTTTTTCCATGTCGGTTCTGCAACAAAGTTAGGATGACAAAGTAACTTGAATTAGAGCATCATATACAATACAATATGTGAAAGTCACTGCTAAGAAAAATGATTGCAAGAAATACAATTCCTTGCTTCAACATTCGGCCATACATTCTGGGAGTTCAACCGATTTTATAATTGTCCTCATCACCAGTCAGTACATATGCTAATGTGTTTAATACAGACCTCAATGAAGCTTGATTTTCTCTAACTGTAATAAAATGATTGCAGTTATGTAATGAGAAAGAATTACCTCCAACACTGTACGGACAAAGCTCTTATATTTTTCAGGGGTAGCCAACTGAACTGCAGCAGTACCACACTTCCTTATCATAATCTCCAATATAACAGTGACCTGCAGATGATGTGAAAAGACACAAATAAGAATACATAACTTTAATATATCACATACATACAAATAATGAATTTCTGATTAAAAACTGCATTTGCCTTTGATCTGAAATGGTTTCTTGAGACAGGTGACCATGGAAGAACTCCACTGATGACTTCAGGAAGAAGATTATGCAAATCTTTAGCTTGCAATGAAGACACCAGCACTTTAACAAAGCCCAAAACAGCCTATCAATATGTAGCAACCAATTAACAGTGGTTATTGACAGGAGACGATTGTTACTCGTTTTCAGAAAGAGAGTAATAATGAACCAGTGTGGCAGAATGGAAACTCACTTTTATAACTTCTAGAGATTTTGTTTGCAGCAAGGATAGGAGGGAGGATACGAGATCAGGTATTTGAAGACACATCTCTGGATCACTGTATACAAGAACAGATAGTGCAGACACTGCTCCACTCGTTATGTGAGGAGATGACCCAGAAAGATATCCCATTATCTGCATATGAGCAAAAGCAACATCATTGGTATCATATACTAGTATAAAAACTAGGAAAATAATTCCTAGTTGACGGTGAATTGGGGTTTTAAACATAAGTTGGACATCTCCACTTATTGTTTAGTTTTAGGTTGGAAGCTCTATAACACATCACTTGCAGCAAGTGGACATATCAAACTTAAGAAACCTACACAATCCTCGACAAATCAATCCTTTCAAACTTCAAAGATAGACGTACACATCTTACCATGCTAATCAATTTGCGATCAGGAGCAACACTACTGATTTGTGAAGAGTGTGTCAAGCTGGAACTCATCTTTTGAAGAACATCAAAAGCTGCTTTTCTGTGTTCTTCATTCCCCTAAATGTTAAATAAAATTAACACAATCAGTAGATTACCCAAATAATAATAAAGATGATGATGATCAAACTTCTTAGAGCAGTTCTTACATCCTTCAACATTAGTATGATCTCGTTGAGAATAAGAAAAGACTTTGTACTTTCTTCCTCTGAGCACATCTGCATATGTTGTAAAAATTTAATCAGAATTAGGCTGCCACCTACATCTCAAACGATTACAACATAGAGCAGAGTTTGACCTTTAACATGTGAACCATTAAAAAATGGAGGCATTCAAACCGGCTCCTAAGAGATGCAACGTCAACAGGAGGTTTAAGGCCAAGCAATAGATCAATCAGCTCTATAGATTTTGAAGAACAAAACCAAGCATGTTCCTGAACCAAAACAACAGAAAACAAACAAATCAAATTTCTGAAATAGGGGGACAATATCTAAGAAACAAGCAAGTTAAAATCTCTGAAGTACGAAGAGTAAGAAATTATCTAAAAAGAGGAAGAATAGGATGATATCAACACAAACCTCTAAAATTCTGCTTAAAGTTATATAGGCTTCGTGATGACCAATCTCATTATTTTCCTGAAACAACAGAAATTAACCAAAGGAACGCACTGAATTTGTTACAGCAGTAAGAAAACTGATATCAAAATTAAGGCAGGTAGGAGCTCAAGCTGAGAGTTATACCTGAAAAGTGTGCTTAATAAAGTCATATATAAGATGAATAAGATCCTCCTTTGCTCCTTCAACAAGAGAAGATGCAAGCTCTGTTATTACGCACCTGCATAGAAGTAAATTTACTAACAGCTGCTATAAATCTGTATATAATATCAATAGGAAACATATCCTATTATTTCCAACAATTTTTTCAAATCTAAAGCACACTAACCATATAATTTCAGTTATTTATTCAGAATTAACATAAAATATAGACCAAGCACCAAAAAGAGGTAGATTATACTTTAGCAGGAAGGAGCCAACATCTAAAAGTTAGGTTAATAATAATATGAGCAATTTAGTCAAACCTTCTTGGGAGAAAGAAAAAAGAGAGAGAGAAAGAGAGAGAAAGAGGGAGAGAGAGAGAGAGAGAAAGAGAAGGAAAATCAGTAAGCAGACATTGTCTGAATCCATGATAAAGATGAAGATCATCTTTAAAGAGATAGGATCAACATCCTATCAGCATCATATCACCATTGAGAAAACTAGGCCATCAGATTGGGCCAACTAGATGCACGATATCCACTCCACTCAAGTCCTCCATTTCTTAAAGGTCAATGCTTCACCATTTATTGCAGTAGAATTTTGGATCATATAGAGATAACTACTAAATTCAAGCTGAGTTAACTGTAAAAATAAATTGTATAACCGAATTGCATTAATTAACAAGCCACTAAAAGATTTTCAAACTATCAGGCAAAACAAATGGAAATGATAGAGAAGGTAGAATAAGCAGTTTAAGTACAACACAGAGACAGATTTTGAAACATACCTTTGTAAATCTTTCTCTTTACTATTTACATTGCCTTGTTCATCGTCCACTGACTCATTGGTATTATCTTTCTGCATTTCAAACTCACCCTCACAAGTCATGAACTGGAACTTCTCAAGTAGTGACATGAAAATCTTTTTTGTAACAGAAGAGTCAGTGATAGAAGCCAAGCATTGAATGGAATCCTGAAATGGTGTTTTCAATAAGCTAATTGATGGCCATAACATCAGAAAAAGGAATAGAAAAATTATATTTAAGTATGCAAGTCATCAGAACAAAATCACGGGATAAATTACAAGCTTAGTCCTTAGTGCACCAAGATTCTACAATGACGAATTGTTGATTGTCTAAAGCCTAAACAATAAAGGCCAGAATCCAATGAACTCCAGTGTCCTTGGAGGAAATAATACAAGGTCTCACAACCTGTCAAAGGAATAGCTAATAAAAATGCCTATAAAATGGCAGTGGTTATATCAAAGTTCATATCAAACACCCCAACTTAGATCTCATCATGATTATGCTGAATTGGGCAGAAAAATTGAATTAACTAGAAATTAAATCATGTTCAAAAACCATGCTCACTACAGTTGATCTGAAGATTAATACATTCTTTTCAGGGAAATGATGATACTAAAAGGCTTCAGTTTTAGGGTAGGTTAAGAAGTCCACTTCTAAATTAATTTAATAGAAAAATAAAGCATAACTGCATAAGTAACAAAAGAAGGAGAAGAAAGATATATATGTGAGACTTTTCGGGTCACAAGAAAAATAGAATTTATGTTTCAGTAGGAACAAGAGCTAAAAAAATCATTCGGCAAATAATTAAAACCTAAAAATGACTAGCAACAGAGGCAGAACCTTAATATATGGGCGCTTTGCTGGATGTGATTGGACAAATGCATCTGTTAGAGCCTGAAGCAACTCAGCAGAATATGATGACAAGGACTTGATGTTTCTGGTTGCAGTTTTCTGTGAATAAGTGGGTCTAATTCTTAAGTATATTATAGAATCTTTCAATTGGAATGTGTCCGACTCCAGGGTGTCTTTCTCAGATCTAAGAACATTTTTATTTTGATTCACAAGAATCTACACAAGAAATATTAATCACAAAAAAAATTGTCAGTAAGTCTTAGAAAATGCATACTACAGAAATAAACATCAAATTGAAAGACCCAACTCAAATGAGTAATGGAGAAAAAGGATTTTGTTCTGCTTGATCACCTGTAAAGCAACAGCAATATCTTCATGCATAGAAGAATCGTTCTTAAGAAGATGAATTAAAAGTTCAGCTAAAGGTCCAAACTTCTTATGTGTATCAGTAGAATAGCGACAGAAGGCAGGTAACAATCCCCAGAGGCCGTGAGCATGAGCCTGCAGATCTTGACCCATTATAGACTTTTTAACTGAAAAGGGCAGAACAGAGAAAGCATAAAACAAAACATAAACTTTAGAAATTGATAAAAACCCTACATATCACGACTCAATAGAAACCTCCAAAAGCAGAAATCAATGAAACAATAAATAAACAGAAGTGGTTCAAAATACAATTATTCCTAGCCCACCAAAAGTGTACAATTTATTGGCAATGTAGCACGACTACATAGAGAACTCACAACTTATTGGCTCAGCAGAATAATCCAAATTTACAGCAAGAACACCAAGCACCCCATGATATGGGAATAGGTGAGAAACCTCACTACTACACATTTACATTAGAAAAAAAATTTCATAACTGCAAAAATGAGTGGTTCTAGAGAGTAGAAACTTTAGGCATAGGTACAGGTCTTCCCTAAATGATTATTGGCTAAACGCATGAATACGCTATTAATATACCTTCTGCAAATGATTACCTGTGCAGTGTGGATAAGATATTGTAATAATAGTTTGACACTACTTTCTTGATTTCAAATGATATTGTAACATTAAATTGCCACATGATTATTGAAGAATCTGTTATCATAACAGATGGATCCATGAAACAACATCCTTAAAATCAAATGCCATTTAATCACTTTAAACCTAACTATTGAAAGTCTTGTGAAAACAATTTGTACATTTGCAACTCATTTAAGTATGCAACCTTTTTAGGTTCCTTTCACACAAATATCCAATGAAATCTTATAATATCCATTTTCCCTAATTCAAGCAAAGAAAAAAGAGTTCTCCTGACACAAATAGTAAATAAGATTCTTGGCTTTTTATGGAGATACCTTTATGACTCGCTTGCTCAAAAGATTTTGCAAGAGGTACTATGTGCTCCATATAGTATCCTATTGATGCTCCAACAACATAATCCTTTAATATTGGAACCAACCAAATATTTGAACAAAGTAAGTCCTTAGGTTTGAGGGAGATAGGGAGAAGCGTTAGAATCCTCTGTGGCCCCATAGCAATTACTGCAGAACCAATACAATTCTGAAGCTGCAAATTATCACAAAAGAAATATGATCACTTTTATAACACACTAAAGAAGGATTCCTATATTTATCAGTCTACCAAAGATTGGGATAAATTTAAAGCAACGAATATCTAAAATCATGATGAAATATGAAAGAACAATAGGAATTGCATTAAACCAATTAAGCCTTTATGTAAAAATAATCAAGTAACGGATTATTTCACCACATAGTCAACTGTCAACTGTCTATAAATGAACAATGAGGAAGGAAAAGATATCCAATCTTCTGGAAAAATAGTTAAAAAAGAAAAAAACTAAAATGAATTAAGAAAATAGGTGATTAACTCCAAAATCTAAAAGATCATTTTCACACCAGTTTACTTGTCAACATTGTAATGAACATAAAATCAATCAATACTTACATGGCTTGTGTCAGATGAGTCTCCACTAGCAAGAGTCACCAAGTCAGCAAGTTTAAGAAGGATGACCTTCATAAAGATAAAA